GTGGTGGTCCAAACCTTTAGACTGCCATGTCCTTCTTGAATAATCTTACCCAAATCAGACCAGATTTTTACAGCCATTTAAGGGCTGCTTTGATCGGGTGATTGGCACTTTATGAACATGAAAATCAAATTTCTGAAGGACAACTACAAATGCTGAAATGAATACAGAGCTAACAGGAGTTAGCCAGAGGGCAGAGATGAATACAGCAGGGTGTAGGAGATCAGTCACTTCTCTGATTTGTCTGGGGACAGTCTGGCTCTAGGGAACAACCCCCAGTCTTTGGATCCGAATTCCTGGGTACTAGAGAGAGTGGAGCAGCTGCTTGTCTCTTTAAAATGAAGCTCTAAGAAACAGCTCTGCTGATGCCATGCAGAAATAGTCTTCTGGCCAGAAAAATACCCCAAAGATGAGACCTCTGGGAACCCTTCAGTTCCAGTGAGATTTGGATGGAAAGGAGCAATGTCTTGCTCAGCCAGAACCCTCCTGATTAAGAGCCAAAACTGTTCTAGGATTTGGTGCATGAATGGGATTATTTATGCCTAAACTTGGTTGTGCAAAGCAGACATCTGCTCTAAGCCAAACCCTGACCTCCCTCTCTACTCGGTGGGCAGAGGAATGCCAGAATTTGATCCAGCTGAGCTTTAACTGCTTTCTTAAAGTGGGTGTGATTAATTGTNGAAACATCTCTTCCTTTCTGCTTGGTAAAGGGAAACAGATTTATAACTTTCAGGTGTATGAAGTAGGACAAAAGCAGGCCAAGTTTCCTGACTCCCATCGATGCTACTAAGAATTAGAAACTCATGCACCTGGAGGGTCCTTGACCTTTATTGCTTTTTTTTGTGTCTTAATTATCCCTTTCTATATTTCTGAACATTCAGATCTACTTAAGATTCTCAAGAATTCAAGTTCCTAAATAATAAGGCCATAAAAGTGCAGTAAATTAGCGAGGCAATCATTTAATCTTGCATATTAATGAAACTTTTTTGTTCTAATGCTGTGAACAGTAACGCCCAAACATTTTTAATTTTTTATCTCAATAATTTTATTACATAACCTAACATTTCCCTGTCAGTGATCTTATTGTTCCCATACCACTAAACAAAATTTGCAACCATGTTTTTAAGTACAAAAATTGCAGTACAAACTGATTGCCATACAAGAAAAGGGCAATAGGGAATATATTTTTAGAAAACAGATAATTACTTGATAATTTTAATATGTAGGAGATATGGATGAGTGGGAGAAAAACAAGAAGAGCTTTAGAGAAAATATTTTCTTTGTGGAACACATCGGTTCACCAAAAAATACAAGTTTTATCAAAGCATGAATTGTTGTGCTAGTTTTGCATTATGCTGATAGCAAAAATTATATAATTTAAAAGAATTAATCAATTGATAAAATGGAAGTAATTTTAACTTTGCTGATTCCCAGTTTTTCTCCAGCAGCCATTCAACCTACATTTTGTTGGCAGTGATCTTACTTTCTCTGCCATCGAAAACTCATCCACAGAAAAGCTTTAAAATCTTTATTTGTTGGAATGACAAAGTCAGTAAATTAGAAGTGTTGCTATTAACTTGGGACCTGATTCTGTCAACATTTATGCAGGTGCCTAATTAATTCATGTAGTTAGGCCCAGAGATGTTAATGGCTCACATTTTTCAGTCTAAGCATATGCATAACTGTTTTCAAGGCCACGGCTCAAACTACAAAACCAATGTTTAATTTTTCCCCAGAAGTATTGATTTGCTTCTGAATCTAAAATTCATAGCCAGTGTCTCTGTGCATAATAAATGAATCATTCTCTATCTGATGCATTTGCAAGCTTTAACTTCAGATACAGGTTCATGCCTTTGCCTGAATTTTACTTGTAATTCTTTCGCTATTGGGATAAGAATGTCCTTCGTTGTACAAGAAATGATAGATAAGAAGGACTGGAGGTTGTTTGTCATGGAGCTCAATAACCTTAACTGGAGAATAATACAGTTTTCAACTCAATTTTCAAGAACTTTACTTCATTAAATGGCCACATATGCATGGAGAAGCTGTAAGTAATAGCATCTTATTAGTTTAAGATGTTTTTTCTTGCTCGTCTAATCAAAAGTGAGCACTGATGTAAAAATGCAGTTGACAAGCAGGCAATTCATAAAGTGGTTTAATAGCTATTTCCATTTTGAAAGAGCAGATAATGGTCACGTGTAGCAATATAAATTAAGGACTAAATTATAGCCAGCTCTGCAAAGTCAGAACGGGTGGAAGAGGCTTCCCCACCCAGTGGAAGTCATTGTGGTAACACATGTGGTCAAGTTAATTCAGGAAAATTAATAAAATCTAACTTTCCACCTTACAGTGATTTAATTTGCATTTCCCTTGTTTTGTTTCTAAGAACACCCCAGGTGGCCATTGCAAAGATTTTACCAAAGTCAAGCTGTATCATATCTGCTTCCCCACCACCACTGATACCTGCCCTGTCAAGGAAAATATTGTAAAAGCTTGGTGCAACCTATTTTGACAAATCCATTGCCTGTCCAACATCTGCTCATTATTTACAAGATAATTAAAAATTAATTGCTCTACGTCATGTTTCATTTTCTTTCTGGGTACTAAAATTATGTTGAATATTCTATAAATCTCCCTTCCTTTTTTCTCTAGCTTTATAATAATAGGTATGTGCTTCCTTTTTTCTTTTTCTAAATCCCTGGAATTTTCAATTTTATTGTGTTCCTTGAGTTCTAAAAGATGGTTCATAAATTGTTTTTATTTTTTCTTAAGAACTACAGGGTAAATTTTACCATGCTCTGATAACTTGAAGACATATGTAAAAGATAAATTTCCTTATGTTAATGTAAATGTTCTCCAAACTGCCCATTCCTAATTCAGGTCTGTAGCATCTGCTATTAATTATATCAAATACCTGACCACCTCTGCTAGATAGGAAATTCTAGACAGAAATTTAAGGTTAAATTTAATTTAACCCTTAATATTAGGGGGTTTACCTCCTTTTTATTGTCATTTTTGCATCTCTAGTTTCACTTGTTTTATCCCTATGACCCTAAACTAAATAATTTCTGATTTATTCTTTAGGTTTACTTCTTTTCATTGTATTTTGAATGATTGCTTTTTGATAATCAGTCTAAAGACTTCCTTATGCACTCGTATTAGTCTCCTACTACACTTTCAAGTGTTCTATTAATTAAGATAATTTGATATATGCATTTATTAATATCCTTCCCAAAACTTCCAGCTCTCTCATGCTTCTTTTCTAATTAGAATGTTTCCCCTCTGCCTGGCAATGTTTTGTTAATGTTTACTTTTTTAAAGTCTATTGTTGCTGCCACTTTTTCCTGTTTTCTTCAATATATCCCAAGCACTTACTGAATATTATCTTCATGGAAGATACAATTTTGTTCTTTCATCTGTGTTCATGAACAAATATATATATGTGTATATATATATGTATGTGTGTGTGTGTATATACATATAAATAAGATTTGAATCACTATATCTTGAACTTTAAATGGTTCCCCATTAATATCCAGTGAGTAATACTTGAGTGCCAGAAACAGCAAGTTTGAGCTCATGGTTGCTGCCACTTGTTCTTCATAATGTAAACTATTCTTGAATCATGTTTTTTGTGATTTTACTTCAAAGCAGATAGTAAGATGCATAAAATGTAGTTTTCATTATGATTAAAAGAAATTTAAGGATATTCAGACAAGAAGAAAATGTGGTTTCATGTCACAGTGAAAGTTTCCTTCCTAGGAAAAATTGTCACTGCTCTGGATGAAAATAAAACTGGAAATTCCCCTTTGTATTCATCAGTCGGGTTCAAGTTACCAAGAAGTGCATTAAAAATAGGGTCTAGGGAAAAGATAGTCTGGAAAGGTAATATTTTAACAACAAAAAAGGCAACTGAATGATTTAGGAATCATCTTTCCCTGTTCTTCCAATTATACTGCCAAAATAGTAAAGCCAGTGGTACATGACGTAGATATCTAAATGCTAGATTAAAAATGACATGAATATAATGTAAAGATGTCTATCTATAAATCAAGCTTGACCCAAGTTCCTTGAATTCTTTAAAATTAATCCCACTGGATTTTGTATCCAGGTTTCTAGTGAATCCAGGTTTCCTCCAATATTAAGTTTAAAGTTTTGCAGAGGAGTTAATAAGTACAGGAGTGTAGGTGCATTATAATCAGTGGGACCTGACATTCATGTTCCTGTTATAGGATTTGGCTGTAAGTTGTTAGAGGACTGATTTGGGGAAGATTTTTGCAAACATGATGTGCAGAAAGTGATTATATCTTCAAAGGAATCCTGTACAAAATTTGGAGAAAAGCCTCTTGCTGCTTCAAGGAATGCCCTGAAACTACAGAAGTAATGATTGCTTTAAGCTATGTATTAAAAAGTTCATACCACAGTTTATAATACTGTTAGCTAATATCTATGACTTTTTTTTTGTATTATATACATGATGATAGCGAAGAAACAAAAGTTTCATTTAAGTGCCTTCTCAGAAGTAATATGCTTGATTTTGCATTTTGTCTTTTATATAATTATTATTATTCAGTATGAGCTAGACTGCAGTTAGTTCTCTAAATGAGTGGGCATAATGGCTACAGTTTGCTTTGATCACTTGATATAAATATGTACTCTGTTTGTTCCAAGTTGTAAAGCTTTTAAATGTACTTAACTGGTTGCTCAGGTATCTTGCAGTCTTTTAAAAGTTAGTAAATCACACTTTTTAAAGGAAGCTTTCCATTCTTTGTTGTGCAACTGGGGGAGAGAATGCCAGGATCATTATTTTTCTGCTGCCAGAAAATGTACCAGAGCCCTGCATGTGCAGCATCGGCACAAACCCATGCCACGAGCCTTCCTGTGTCTTGGAATTGTAAGAACAGCGTGTCCCACATCTGTTGGAAAGTGTCTCTGCCCGAGAGCGGGGGGAGAATGGTCGTGAAAGAAGGTGTCTAATCTTCCTTTCCTTGTGTTTGACCCAGTTATGCCACGTTTTGCTGAGCAAGTGGAGGTTGCCATTGAAGCTCTGAGTGCCAACGTCCCCCAGCCGTTTGAGGAGAACGAGTTCATCGACGCCTCCCGCCTGGTTTACGACGGAGTTCGTGACATCAGGAAAGCTGTTCTGATGATAAGGGTATGTGAAGCACCCGGGGAGTAAAATTTGGGACTGGCAGGGAAGTATTGTGTTGGATGAGAGAAACACAAAAGCTTCTTGGAATCGACCTTGTGTTGTAATAAGCCAGAAAAGCTTGATATTGAAACGAGTGAAACAAAAGTATATACAACAAAAAAGAATTAGTAGATAAAGAGATGAGGTTGTTTTCGTAGATGAACCACAATTAATATGTTAATCACCTCGGAGAAGATTTGATTGCAACTGCCAATAGATGCAAACTTCATTACTGTTTCCATAGTAATAGAATTAATTTCCCAAGGTCTTCAAAGTTTGTGTAGATTTTTGTTGTTTTGTTTATTTGGGTTCTTTTCCTAATATATGTGTGCTGCCTAGGATGTGAGGTAGGTCTGGTTAAAATCTAAATGAATAAATAAATTATCTTGCTGCTCCAGTGAGCCTCTGCAGGGATGGTTTTGAATGTTTATTGAGGTATAAATGTGTCATTTCAGTGTTGACTAACCAGTTGATTCAATTTGCTTAGACATCTTTTAATAAAACAAACAAATAAATAAAAGAAACCACAGAACAACATCATTATTATGAGAGTAGGTGTGTGTTGCTTTTCACTGTAGTCTGCAGTCAAAGATTTAAAATATAAAAACAGCAAACCAAACCTAGTCTGGGCATCTCTTCAGCAACTGAAACTGTTATTTGAAACCCAAATTACCTTGAATCTCTCTAATGAGAGCCACATACACATAAAGCTGGGGAGAAAATCATAGAGGATTTTTTTTCTTATGAAGCAAATAACAGGGCTAAAACACCAACTCATCCCTTTGAGCAAACAGGTAACATACACTTGTGGTTGGGAGTGTATTATAGCTCTAATATAAGACTTCAGGCAGTTGGAGCACTCCAAAATAGCTCCATTTTAGTCATCTCTCACTATGTATTAACATTTACAGAAAAAGCTTTTGACAGGCTTAATTTTATAACTGTGAAACATAAATTCCATTCTCATTCCCAGTGCTCATCTCAGGTAGCCTGAATTACAGTCATGACTGATGACAGGGGCAAACCCATCCTGTTTCTGGGTCTGCAGCATCAGAGCATTGGCAACTCTTCTGGACTAGGATGGAAATCTTTACTTAAATTACTTCCCTGTGAGGGTGGGGAGGCCCTGGCACAGGTTGCCCAGAGAAGCTGTGGCTGCCCCTGGATCCCTGGAAGTGTCCAAGGCCAGGTTGGACAGGGCTTGGAGCAACCTGAGCTAGTGGAAGGTGTCCCTGCCCATGGCAGGGGGTGGGACTGGATGACCTTTAAGGTCCCTTCCAACCCAAACCATTCTATGATTCTATGGTTCTATGAAATGAAAGATCTGCATATCAAAGAATCTCCATTTTCCCTCCCTGATTATCCAGTTCCTTAGTCTGTAGAAGCAGTTTCCAAACTTCTCTTAGGACAAGAAGCACTTCTTAGCACATTTTAGTCTTCTCTAGTCATTTGAAATCTCTTCATGAGGCACAACCATCAGGTGGGATCTCCTACAGAAACACACTTTCCCATCCCCTACACAGGGTTCTGTCTTCCAGCACCCTCCTGTACATCAGAGTTGTCCCTGAGAGGTTGCCATGAGACTGTCCTGGTGAGATGTTTCTGCTAAGCACAAAGCACCATTTTAAATTCTGGAGGCACATTCACTTATTTCATTTCTGCCTCACTGTTCTGTTTACTTGGAAAGCTGATCAGCATGCAGGCTCTGCAGTCCTCCCAAGTTACTTTTGCAATTGTATCACTACTACTTTCCACTCGTTGTATGATATGAGTTAATGAATTCTGCTTACCCAGATTAGGAAGATTTATTTTTGCATTCAGACAATTAATGTATTTATGGAGCTAAATGTAGTACTCCTTACCCAGGCAGAGAACTAAAGCACATAAATGGACTCATTATCCTTGTGAGTTAACTGGAAAAATCCACATATATAAGCTTACACAGACCAGAGTTTGCTGAATCAGAACCTTATTCTCTGTAGAAAACAAAATTAGTTTCACTTTGAGATACTCATTCCCATCTGAACATGTCACCCTGAAATGGAATGTATAATTAAAGAGTGAGGCATTAAGCTATAGAAGAAGTTTTTAGAATATTTTTATCTAATAATCTATCAAATCTAATGCACCCCTTTAATTCAGGCTATAAAACTTCTCAAAGAATTATTAAAAAAAACCCCAAAAACCCGACCTTGCTAACTTTTTAGAGCATCTGACACAATTATTTTCAGGCAATGATTGTTTGTGTGCAAGCCGTGAAAGATTGAATTTATCTGAGATGATTCTCTCATTTCATAGAGTAAATAAAGCCACTTTTAAAATTAATTTTGGTTGGTATTATTACTTTTGGTAAGCTGAAGGAAAGGGGGATAATCTCTGTTCTTCTCTTTTTCTTTCACAAGGGGAGAATTTATTTTCCCTCTGGAGGAGAAAGGAGACTCATTTTTTCATTGAGGACTATTATTATGAACTACACAGAAGAAAAAATCCCTTCCACAACTTAAGAAGTAGTATAAATGAATTTAAGAGTATAATTATAGAACCGAAAAATAAAATAGAAAATAATAATTTCATTCCGACATCTTTTCTATTACTGTGCAGGGATTAAACTACACTTTGTTTTTTCACAGCTGTTTATGAAATTCCCTCAGTTATTAGCCAGAAACCCTCTCTGCAGTTAGGAGGAATCACAATGGCACCTTTTCTCATTCTTATGTCTCTCTGAGGCCAGTTTGCTCTTTTCACACATGGCCTTTGCTATTAGAAACCTTGCCTTTAGTGGCATCTACATTAACCTCAGTGTTACATCTGTTTGGGTCAGGAGTGCATTTTTGGAGCCAATCTCCAGGTGCTCCTTCTTGCTGTGTTTTTGTTCATTTTGCAGAGTAATCTTAGAGCACAGAAACTTGATTCTTTAGGAGGATGTGCTCTGTGAGCCCCCTAGGACCCAAGGGAGTGGCCTGAAGTTGTGTCAGGAGAGGTTTGGGTTGGATATCAGGAAAAGGTTCTTCACCCAGAGGGTGGTCAGGTACTGGAACAGGCTCCCCAGGGAAGTGACCATGGCCCCAAGGCTGACAGAGTTCAGGAAGCATTTGGAAAATGCTCTCAGGCACATGATGGGATTTTTTGGGGGCCTGTCTCGTGCAGAGCCAGGAGTTGAACTCGATGATCCTTGTGGATCCAACTCAGGATGTTCTATTTTACAATTCTATGATTAACTGCATTTCTGTTCTGTCTTTAAGGGACTTTCAGTCCATGAGAGAAGACTACAATGAGTCTGAATGAAAATGGAATGAGGGCAGTGTGGGGTCCTTAACTCCAGACTGTTTGGGTGTATTAATGCCCTTCCACTCTTCCACACTTGTCAGTACAGGTTTAGCCATCATCACCTGTGGGGCAGCCACTGTGGAGAAACCCAAAGTGCTGCAACTTTTCAGGTCCTCTGGAAAACTAGATCTGATGCAGAATCCCATCATCTTTTGAAACAGCCTATCTCCAAAGGGTGTTATGGGGTCCACTGTCTGCATTGATTGCCTGCTACTTCTCAGACCGAATTTGAAGTGTTAGGTTTTCCTGTAAATCATTAAACAGCCAAAGACCTGCAGTGAGAGAGGTTCTCTGACTTAGGCACTCAGGTACTGCTTGCACCTGAATCACTCAGGCTTCAACTGTACCAAAACAAATGTACAGAAGAGTGTGGAGTTGGATATAAAAGCATATTATAAGGTCTACTTTTTTTTTTTTTCTCCTTATCTTTTAGGATTAAAGGGCATTTTTGTGGTAAAAAATGGGGGAGTATCTTTTCATCTTTTCAGTCTTTCCTCTCATTACAAGGTTAGCTTGACTTGGTGTTCACGGTGTTGAAATTCTTATAATTGCATCTTACAATTTCTAAGTGCATACAGCAGTGTAGCATAGTGGGGTTTCTATCTTCATCAAGTATATTTGAGCTGGTGAAATATGAAACAAATAGCACTTATCTGCATATATATGCCATTTTATGACTTATACTTGTATAATTCACATTCTTATACAGCAGTCACAAAAGAAAAAAAAATAGTGATGGAAGGTATTTTGTTTACAGCAAGCACTTTACTCTCACAGTCAGAGAGATATTTAAACAAAATATTCCAGTGCCTGGAAGTTGAAAGTCACCATATTCATATTAGAAATAAAACATGCATCTTAAAAGAGAAAGTATGTATTTACTGGGTGATTTATCTGGGATTGTGAAAGAATATTCTTCACTAGAAGAATTCATCTGAGTTAGATGAATGAAGAATATGCTCTTTGTGTAGTAGAGATACTCTATTTGAAAAAGAAGTTGTCCTGGGAAGTCTTATGGCCTGTACTACAAACCAGACAGACTAAAAATGATAAAAATGGCCCAGTTTTCTGCTGAAATCAGTCAGCTCATAAAATCTATTAGTTTTGAAAATTACTGTAGCTTCTCCTGCCACTGGCAGTTGTCAGTTTTGTTTGGAAACAAGTGTCAAATCCATATTTCCTACATTTATGTGACCATAAGTCCATGTGTCTGCAAGATGGATCCAGTCCTTCCATCCTCCAAATCAGATAAACTGAGTTTCAGACTCTGCTGTCACAGAAACTAGGTTTTAAATACCAAGGTCCTGTTAGTTGTACACAAAAATTAGAGTTGTTATGGTATTTTTAGAAGGCCCTGCTAAGAGTAGAAGTCTTTAAGTCAAGGAACTTCAATATTTCTTTTTATACCTTTGTGTCTAAACAAAAGGGAGATTCTATTCTATGTGGGCTGCATGTCCAAGAGATCAGCTAAAACAAAGGAATGGTGCAAGGGTGAAAAGCATGAAGATGTTTGAAATGGCATCAGACAGACTCCAGTCCTTCCCCTCAATGAAAAATGTAGCTATCTGGGGAGGAAAACAAGGATGTTAAATTCACCAGACTTAAAAACCTAAAGAGAATGAAATGAATCTGAAAGATCATTTTGAATTAGATCTCACATGTACAGAGGAGAAAATGGAGATGTAATGTGCTTGGAGTGTATTAGTTGCATTACTGGTCCTTTTGGTTTACACTACATTTTCTCCAAGTTCAACACCTATACCCATTAAATTTCAGTCTTTGAAAGACCACAAATGTTAATGTTAGGAGTGTCAAACAACAACAGCAATACGTTTTTTTCTGAATCTTTCTTTAAGAGTAAATCCTTGAATAGAATTTTCAGAATAGTTTTGCTTTTTAAAGGGACATCCTCATGGATGTCCTTACTGGTTACAGTGTTGAGATGTGTATTTTGAATGTTACACCCTTACTTTACTGAAGTCTGACTATGAAAGCCTGGGACCGGACTGCACTTTATTTTTTATATTCTTATTTATAAAAGTGGAGACAGAAGAAACTAAGAGGAGGATATTTGGGGGTGAAAGGATACAGGTGTTACAATGACCAGTGAAACTGGGTAGTTGAATGGACTTGGAGGATGGGTCAGAGCCAGCTGGTTTATGAAGAAGGGGTTGAAGCTCTCCACCCTATTCCTTTTTTTCACAGGAAAGTGCAGGCAGAGCCCTATGACAGAAAATACTCTCTTTGCTCAGGGAGTTGTATGATTCTCTTTGTAGCTTGTTTGTTTGTGGCAGATTTTAAGGTCACACCCTGCCCTCAGGCAGCTGAGCAGAGAAAATAAAGTGATTAAAGGTGATTGGAAAACAAGACCATTGGTCATTTTAATGATGGGTACCAATCTTTCTGTTTTTCCTGTGACAGTAGAGAAAAGGTAAATTCATTTCTCATCTAAACTTCTCGTGCTGTCTGTCCTGTTACACACGCTGTTTGTACATGTCTCTCTTCAGCGACGCAGCCTGAGTTCCATTACCACACTGTCACACTTGGTTACTTCTTCCTCCAGCACTCAGCATCAAAACACATATTTAATTCATACTCTTCAAGCCAAATGAAGATGGCTGTGTTTTACTCTCCCCATCATGTGCACTTCACCATGCAGCTCCAAACAGTGATGTGCACTTCACGTTGGAAGCCAGGCTGGAATATAAACACCGCCAAAAGACTTCTCCACGTTATGTTAGAGGGTTTGGAGCGGTTCCTAGTGACTGAGCATCTTCAAGGCAGAGCTGTAATGACAACTGGCAATGGTTAGCACCTCTGCTAAAAAGCTTGACGTTGCCTCCAAGCATGGAATGCCAGCATGGATGATTTCTTCTGTAATGGCCTTCGAGGTTGACACTGGGGGCACACGGGGGTATCCAGTAAGGTGATACAGTTACTGTGACCTTCTTCTTCTATCATCATTATCGTGTATTGCACCTACAGAAGTTACTCGTGGCCAGACTGTTGTCCTAGAGGCTATTCAGTCACAAAATGGAATATGATCTTCTTTCTAAAGACTCTTTTTTTGCATCATCTATAATAAATATAGTACTAAATAGTGATTTTATTTACACTGTCTCTCTGTATATACCTAAGGAAATTCTCCTAATTTTTTGCTAGAAGATGAAAAAGCCCAAATAAACATATCCATCAGTTATTTTTTTTCCTCCCTCCCTCTGAAATTTTAAAAAAGCTGAAGCCTGCATATATGTAACTAGATTTAACCAATCTGCTTAGAGACCCTCACACCATTTGTAGCACCAGCAATGGAGATAACATGATTTCAGTCAGGGGATGAGTCAAATTCCAAAGCCCTGTATCTGAAAAGAACCATGTGAGTTAACAAGATAACACAGGTTATAAACTTCATATTTATTTGAAAACCAGTTGACATCATTTACAATTTCTTTTAATGGGAAATCTCTTATTTGTTTTGATAAATTTTTCTTCCAGGATGTCAGTTGCTTTTTCCCAGATATTTACTTTCTCTTTTGAAGATTACATGTAGCTTCCAGTAATGTAATAGTATTAGTGTCCATTTATATAAGAAATAACATTATTTTGAAATACAGCATTCTGGTTGTTAGTGTTTCCAAAGGATATTTGTTCCTGGAACTGCATTCATCATGTTAACAGAGTTAAGAGAAATTGCAGTAAGAAAAGTTGTGGCAAGGTAATGACAAATGTTATTTGTAAAGAAAACTAGAGCTGAAACAACTTAATTTTTAAGACAATTCAATTTCAGTTCCTGACTGCTTGGGCAGACAAGTTCATTTAAAAGGGAAACAGAACAGCATTTCCTGGGCAAGGGATCGATGAAATAAGAGCTTACTGTGCATAGGACTTTGTCTGTATTCTTTCTAAGCTTGTCATCTCCTCTCTTTGGCCTTCTCTCCCTGTGTCTCTCTCTCTCTAGACCCCTGAAGAGCTGGAGGATGATTCAGACTTCGAGCAGGAAGATTATGACGTTCGCAGCCGAACAAGTGTACAGACTGAGGATGACCAGCTTATTGCTGGCCAGAGTGCCAGGGTGAGTGTAAACCCCACATAAAACATTAGTGTCTGTATAGCCACCAATAAAAAGCTGTGCCTCAGAAAGCAAAGGCAGTGATTTCCAATCTTCAGGGTCATTTAAGAAAGGACAGAACCAACCTGACCCAAGTGTTGAAAGTTCGTGTCGCACCTACTGGAGTAACACTGACTTCACTGAATGATCTTCCTGAGGCTTTCATGATGCCTTGTATCAGCTGTTTGCTCCAGCTACTGCTGTAAGAGGAGGCTTTGCAGGTTTGGAATGTGCTGAAGGCCGTGGGAGTAGTCAGCAAATTAAAAAAAAATAAAAAAATCCCATCAGGGCACCATGTGCCGTATCCAGAGAAATCTTACATTAGTCATGTTTCCCAGTGTGCAAACCTGTCAAGAAGATCTGTTTAAGCTACCGAGTAGTCCCTGTAATTTAATTGTAATTGAAGACATTTGCTACTGAGTCAATGTAATTTTGCCAGGGTAATTACATCATGATAAACTCCAGTCATTGTGATTTGCGACCTCAGCTTGTGCACGGGGATTGCAAGTGAAGCTGATGAGTGCTTCAGGGGTCACAGGTGCTGGGAAAGTGAAGTTTGTTAACACTCAGGAATATTCCTGTTAACACTCAGGATTATGCCACCCTCTGATGAATGTTTACTTCATACTGAATCGGCTGCTCATATCACATTATTAAAAAACCCATCAGAATATAATTGGAGGGGAAAATGACATCGTGAAAATATATTTGACTGGAAAGAGAGTTTAAAAAATAAGTCTTAAACATTTTCCAGCAGAGAACCAGTGGGGAACTGGGAGTTACCTGAATGATTTTCATGGTTGTTTCACACAAGTCTGTGGTTTCTTCTGATGTGTCCTCACACACTTAAACAAACACTAGAAAAAGCTGGTAGCTGGAATGGGGATTTCTTACCTTGGATTCTGGAAGAGGATTTTTAGGGCTGAGAACCTAAAGATCAAAAGGCAATGATGCTTTGAAAAATCAATTCAGAGCAGCAGGACAGAGGAGTTTTTAGCTGCTCTAGGACTCGGAGTATGTTGGAACTTAGCATAAAGATTTTACACCCTGAAAAGAAACAGAAGAGTTACACAAATCTAAAAGAAGCTTACTTAAAAGTATGGGAGAAATGTGAGACATGGAGCCAAGTGTAATGGGCAGAGATTTCTTTTTGTCTTAAATTAATTTCCATTAATATTGAACACAGATGGTAAATAAATCATACCATGTATCAGAAAAGCTGGATTTCTATCACTAAATCACAAGGACATAATACATATATTCATTTTGATCTACAAGAAGAGAGATGGATTGTAGATCCTATCCCAGAGAGCTGGGTGACCAGGAACTGACAGTGAAAACCATGCAGTACCAAGAATTTCAAAATGATACCTGGATACCTCTCTGTGAGAAGGATGACAGAACTGTGTTCTGGAGGGAGATGACTATCTTTTGTGATTTTTATATTTTAAAGAGCATAAAGTGCTTTCTGTTATATTCAAAGACTTGACAAGTAAGTTTCAGGTACAGCAGAATTGAGGTATGGTACAGAGTATTCTATCAAATTTCATAGTCTTTTCCATTTTTTTGGTTACATTTAGGACTAGTAGCATATCATCCTTTCTTGATCTGAAAACCAAAGTAAAGACTGCAGTAATTTTTTTACTAAGAATTGAGTTCACCTAGGGACTTAGGAGCCTAAATTCTACTACATTTATTACAGTTATTATTATTGCTGCACTTAAAACCTTCTGCTTTGATCAGCTTCAAACACTGTATAAACATAATACATTATAAGGACAGTTCCTGAATAACATAGGTTGCAATATGTCAGAGGAAGCAACAAATGACAAAAACCTAAAAGGAAAACATGCTAAGCAGAAGCTGCCCATTCCACACTCTGCAGTGACTCATTGAAATGATTCTGCTAAGTGGAATAGTATCTTATTTGAACCGTTTCTGCAGAAAATATTCAAAACATTTTTATTTGTGGAATGTAATGGATTTGTTTAATATGCTTACTCCATAAAGCTGTTAGTATTTCAGTAGAAAGGCTTGTGTTGGCCTTCAGTGGAAACAAAACTGGAATGAATGAGTTGCATTTGCTGTAGGATATGGCTGCTTTGAAAGCACCTCACCAGCTGGAACAGAAATATTAAAACACTGGATACCAGTTTAAAGCATGTGCAGGTGAAGCTGCCACCAAAAGAAACTGCAGGCAAGACATTCGGATCCACTTCCCAAATTTTACCGCTCCTATCATGTTCTCTTCAGTTAATTCATCAGTTCTAGGGTTTTATGTGTATTTTATCTATTTATTTATTGGCTTAACTTACACAGCATTTTTCTGTGGAAGGACTTTTATTCTAACATTTGAAACTGCTGAGTTACATTGATAAGGCCTAATTAAAACTCGTGTTGAATTTTAATTTGATTAACTTGCAAATTTCTCATTTTCTGATCTGTTTATAACCCTTTTTCATTTCAGTTTTGGAAAAGGTCAATTATGAACTTTTAAAAGCCAAGAGCATTTTAAGAATATGTAGAAAAAAAGACTTCAGCTGATTGAAAGTGACATAAACAAGAAAAAAATGTAATGACACTTAAATATGTGTCACACCCTATTAAATACATAATGTGGTCTTCAGAACCCCTAAAGCCAAATAGTGAGTCAACTTGGAAATCATTATTGGAAGTGTCCATTTGATCTTCAAAAGTAATTATTATAATTTTTTAGGGGTTTTTTGATTTTGTTTTTTTATTGGAGAGGGCAGGGAACTTTCTGCTTTCTTGATATTGAGGCAGATTAGTACCAACCTGTGTAGTCATGGCTAACCTGTGTAGTGCCTTTTTGCATATCGTCCAAGAGACAGAACACTAAATATCATTAAAAGACATGTTTGTTACAATTCACTGTAAATGTATTATCTTGCATGTCATAGCTTATTTTAGTGTTGGGTTAATCAGAAACTTGGATTTCTGACAGAGAGTGAGACTAGGGGAGACACTGGCAATTCAGCCTGCCTTTTCCCATAAATGTCCTTCATTTTATTCTTCCTGGAAGTTAAGATTTAATAGGAATTTAATCCTCCTGTATCAACTGGTGAATAATCTGTATGTCATATAATTTTTACCATCTTGAAGGTGCAAGAAGAGCTATAAACATGCTGTGGATTTGGCTTTGCCTGTCCTAACAGAAATCAAATGCTTGCTGGATTTTGCTTGGCATCTTCAATTCCCATGAAAAGCAACTGAAGCTGTGCTTGCCATTTGGACCACTGGAAATGTCAGGTTTCTGGCTTCCTTTTTTCGTGCCCAACTTCTGTTTTTTTTCTCCAGGCTATCATGGCTCAGCTTCCCCAGGAGGAGAAGGCTAAGATTGCTGAGCAGGTAGAGATATTCCACCAAGAGAAGAGCAAACTGGATGCAGAGGTGGCAAAGTGGGATGACAGTGGTAATGACATCATTGTGCTGGCAAAGCAGATGTGCATGATCATGATGGAAATGACAGACTTCACTAGGTAAGGACAAAATAACCTGCACTGAGGAGTCCACATATGCCACATCTTTCCTTTTCTGTTCAGTTTGTAGCCTGTTGAGATGATTTACTGCGTTTTTGGAGATGCAAAGCCAAGTAACACACATCACATACGGTGGGATGTGTTGTTTAGTTCTCTACGCACAACAGCTCTGGATATTTCTCCAAACAGGATTAATCACATGAAGTTTTTTGTCCTGTTTGTGAATCTCTTTTATTTGCAGATCATCTTGAATTTCAGCAGCAAAGTTAGTCTGTGACCTTACAGACACTCGGCTGACATTTCGTTTAGTACCCATCTAAATGCATGCGCCCCTCTGAACTTTCAACATTTCACTGCAATTTGTGTCAATCAAAAATAATGGCAAAACTATTTATAGAATTTTGATCACAGAACTTCTTTCAAAAAAAAAATTCCAAATGAAATGAAACTGTTTTGATCTAATATGTCGTGGGAGTCTGTTAGTAATGATTTTTTTTTTTTTTGCTTTCATTTCTTTTCTCTATTGATATCTTGTTCTTCTCTAATTGGAAAGCATCAAAAGGCCATTCATTAATAGCATAAAGTAAAAAGAATGATTTTGTTAAACTGTAGTCATAGTGTTAAACACACCAGGGACAACATTTTACAAGATTCTTTGAATTACAAATCATCATAATAAATTAAATTTTGTTCGGTGTTTATTTTTAATGGGAGTTCAGACATTTCAATGGTATCTGCCAAAATGTGATTGCCCAAATCTGGGCAAAAATCTTCATGTTTTCCTTTAGAATTAAAATAAAACATCCATTTATTCATCTCACTGTGTTCCACAGAGAAGCTAGAGGTGTTCCAGGCCAAGTTGGATGGGTCTTGGAGCAACCTGGTCTAGTGGAAGATGTCCCTGCCCATGGCAGGGGGTTGGAACAGGATGATCTTTAAGGTTCCTTCCAACCCAAATCTTTCTGTGATTCTATGATTTCTTAATCTCCAGCTGATCACATGCCTTGTGTCTGAAACCTTCAAATCACGTCAGAGGAGCCAGTCTCTGCATTTACAACCTGGAGTTCACACATACCTGATAGACAGAGAGAGAGAGAGAGGGAAGGAGTGTGTATAAATAACATTAATTTTCAAATAACTTGAGTATTTGCGTAGGTAGTTAATTGATAATAGGCAACAGCAAACATTTTTATCCATTTTAAATTTAATTATGCCTATAGAAAGTTTGCTTGCTTTAAAAGATTACTACTATACTTGCTCCAAGCCGTCATTCTCTCCACTTACTTGTTTTCCTCTCAGTTTGTGCTTTTACAGCTGTTCTTTTTGCAGTAGATTCACCACCCCTGGATACCAAATGTCAGGGTAGAACCTCCTGTGAAGGGTGATATTTTACAGAATTCTGAATTACTTATGTATTTGTATTGCCTTGGGACTCTGATCCTTCTGACCAAAAAAAACCAGTATGAAAAACTGCCCAAACAGTGTTTCATGGAAGGAAGAAATGATGTTCTAAAGACACAGCCCAGAATATGAACATTTCATGCAACCTCCTGGACAACCTTTGATACACAGATCATGGAATTGAAAATTTTGTAATTACATTTCCCAGCATCAAAAGAACAGAACTAATATGAGAATGAGAGAAAACTACTGTCACATTTGAAGTAAATAAAAAAAAAATCAAAGTGCACCTCTGTCAGCATCAGATTCAATAACAGCTTGTTTAATATATTCCATTAAAACAGAACAAAGCCTATCACACTTTTCTGGTTGACTGTAACCTCAGCAGTGTTAAAATAGAATAATTTTTCAAATCCATGGTTTGTGACAGCAAGATCTGCTCATGTAATTAATGCAGAAACATAAGAGGTCACCAAGAAGGACTTTTGCTGCAGTTTAAGTTCACCAGAAGTGGGATACTTTTATTTCATTATCTGTTTAAGGTGGAAATGGAAGTATGGAAAGAAGATTAAAGTGGAAATATGTTTTAGCATGTTATTCTTGGCATTATAGATTGTGAAAAAAAGGAAAAATAATACAATGTTATGCTTAGAAAAAAATTCCTTCTACTTCATTTTTTTTAAAAAAATTGCCTGATCATAGTATGATTTTCCAAATTAAAAAAAAAAAAAGAAAATAAGCTCACTTCCAACTGAGCCATTCTCAGGATCAGCAGCAATTTGATTAGTACAAACAGGATTGAAGTTTTGAGTGTGAAACAAACTCAGAAAAGTCTGTGGTGACATTTTAATTTTTGTCTTAATGCACTTTGGTTACTTTATAGACTAAAACGAGAGTTTCGTACATCATCTTAAAAATACAGTGAAAGATCAGTCTTAAAGCTAATTATACATGTTTTAAGTGTAATATTTAAATGTAATATAAGGATTATGCTTCACATGTCTTTATTTTCCAGCGGAAAAAAACCTACTAAAAAAAAGCTTTCTAAAATGTGACATTCTTGCCCTAGACATGATAGGCTTAACATTTAGCACCGGCTTGGGAATCGCATAATTTTTGAATAGTTGTGTATTCCAGAAAGAGCATTGGCTTAATGAGCACTTAAAAATGCATATACTTTTAAGTACAGCTCATGTGCTTGAAGGCACCATCACACTAAATTGCTGGTGAGGCATTTTGTAAGGGAGAGGAAATGCAGCAGACCGATTTCTTAATCAAGCTGTACTATAAAGTAGTTAAAAGGTGAGATTCTAATAAATTAAGAAGTCATTCGTGTTGCTATTTTAAAATCAAGCACTAAACAGGGTCACTAAAACTGTTGCCTCTCATGATTTATTTAGGTTGTGCGTAATTGTCTTGTATTTCACAGAGGCAAAGGCCCCCTGAAGAACACATCAGATGTCATTAATGCAGCCAAGAAGATTGCAGAGGCAGGATCGAGGATGGACAAATTGGCACGGGCAGTAGCTGATCAGGTAACCACAAAAATGAGCAGAAATGCGATGTAACCTCTATAGATGAGGTTGCCTTTTGCAGGAAGGGGTTATCTTTACTTGGCAGAGAATCACCTGCTGGAAGTCACCACCTGGACTCTGATCTACCCATCGAATAGAAGTTTTTCTGTACCTATCAGTTGGGTTTTGCAGTAAAGGAAAGTCACAAACAAGTCTCTCTAAAGCTCAGAAATGCTTGACTTGTTCCACCTCATTGCTGGGCCCAGATGTTGTGTTAGAATTAGACTGATAGAGACTCATTTAGGTTGGAAAAGACCTCTAAGATCATCGAGTCCAAAATTTATTTGCTGTTATGGAAGCAGTAGAGACTCAGATGCTCCATTACCTTTGCCATATGCCTTGGAATCCTCACCTTCTTTTCAGCTCAGTCTTTCAGCAACTTCCCTTGATATGGCACATTTCTTCTTCAATGTTCCTTGACTCCCAGTTTCCTGCTTGGCATCAGGCTATTGTGGGTATTTTACCTTAACAGGCCCCTGGTCCCTGTTCTGTGTCCTCACTCCCAGTACCAAACTCTTATCACAACTGGAAAGATGAACTCACTAGATATATAATTTTTCATATTGGATTCCATCTGGATCCATCTGGAGAGTGAGAGGAAGCAGCATACTAAAAGTCAAGAGCCAAATTTCAAATCCAGGTCCTAGGTAGTTAATTTTAGATTTGGGCAAATTAAATTTGACTGTTTTTTTCACTTGTAAACTTCCAGTAGCTCCTTTCCTCTCGTTATCATCAGGAGAAAATCCACTGGAAGTGGGAACCAATAACTTCCTTGCTTCTAATCTTTCTCTTCATGATGTCTTTTTCTTCTCCAAGAAAGAATGTAATAGTGTGTAACATACCCTGCCATGGAATAGGAGCTAAAATGGCAAAAAACCTGAAGCTGCCCATTTTTCTACAACCTTGGAAATTTTGGGTTTAGAGTTTCTTCGTTATCAGCAGGCATTTTCTCCTGTAGTTAACCCATTCCAATCCTTCAAAAGTAGCATCTGTTCATTTTAGCACAAGAAAGAAGAAATCCATCTGTCAGCTGATGAAATTCCTAGTCTGAAGTATTTGCAGATGTGGAATATTTTAAAGAAAGAAACACAAAGAGACTTTTTATGCTTAGAGTGCATTGGCTTGAGTCACATTTTAAATTTCAGAGGACTGTAACACTTTAATAATAAACAGTGAAAGCACTTTGAGAATGAATTATTTGTTTTAATGCTTGCACTTTAATGATATTTCACAGAACTTTGGAGACCCTCATGCAATATAAACTTTTTATGGACAGTTGCATTTTTAATTATTGTTCCAATGAGAGAGCTCTTACATTTTTTCACTCCAAGGTGCTGATGTATAAAACCTTGACAGCTCTTTAGAATTATTGCTTTAAAATTCATTTCTTTCAGTTCATAGACTTCAAGAATAGGGTAAATATTTTTGTATTAAATTGACACTGGTAGGGAGGAAAGTTTTCTTAGGGATTCATGCCTGAAAGGTGCGGCATCTGTCTGAGGAAAAGAGGCTTTATAGCCTTATTGCCATGAGTGTAGGGCACATTTAACCTGACAGCCACAATGGACCTCCAGCTTTGTTTCTTTTTAGTTTTAAAGGGAGAGAAAAAAGCAAAGTGACTGCTTTCAGGGTTATAGACAACAATATATACAACTGGTTCATCATGAACTCATTGCTGTTCATCATGAACAGCGTTATCTGTGGGGTTAGAGCAGCGATCTCAAGTCAAAGGCTGTGATACTGTTGGCTCATGTGTGTTTAATTCTATCAGTTTTTCTTGAAATGCTCTGATAATATTTTTTAAAAAATTTGCGCCCAGACTTTGTAAGATGCTAAGAAGGCATATTTGGAATCTTTGTTCCCCAAGCTATGCACTCAAAGGGTATTCAAAGGGCGTTTATTGGAGACATGCTGTTAGCAATGAACCCCTTTAGCAGTGTTTCATCAGAGTGAATTACAGAGGTCTGTTCTCTTAAGGCAAGACTTTGAATATTAACTACAAGACTGTTGTTTATTATGCTCTTGATATTGTGGGGGAAGATGCAGTTTCTATTAAGAGTCCCAGGGACTATGAATAAATTGTACTTGGGCCTTTTCTAGTTATATTGATTATAAAACCCTCACAGTGCCTAGCACATTTGACCTAATCTAATCTGTATCAACACACATTTGGGATTGATTCACAGTATCTGAAATGGTACAGGACTGTAGACAGCATTCCCTCTAGGATGGAGAAGTATCCCTTAGACATGCAGAGGGACCAGCTTAACTCACTGTGTTCTTGAGGAGGGCTGCAATACTGATGTCATTTGCTGAGATACTCTGCAATATGTCGCTCACACTTCAGTAAATAATTTCTCTCTGGCACAGATTAAGGTATTTCAGCATCAAAAATAAGCTTGCCAAATCTGTCATTACCAAACCCAAGCAGCCTCACCTCTGCCTCCCAAGTCCTTCAGGTGTCAGTGAGAGATCTGGCTTCTGCCAAGCCTGAGGCAGAGCTGTGTCCTCTGAAGGTCTGCACAACTGCCAGGGAAGATGGCAACACAGGCAAGAGAGTTGGCATTAGAGTGGTGGTAATCAGGTAGAACTGGGTTCGTCTGGACTTTAACTGGTCCACGTTGTGGAGTTTCAAGTCAAACCTGGTCTTTTGACTGCTCAGTAGATTCTTCTGTTCAGTACAATCTGATGTCATAAGTAAACACTCACCGTGATCATATTATTGTCATTGCCTTTTATTAGAGACTGACAGAGAGGTTTCATCTCTCTCCAGAAAGGTATAGTGCATCTCCAGGCTACAATTCATAAATATTGAGTTAAATTAGAGGCAGAGTTTGAGTTTTCACATTTCATCAAGTACCTCATGTAAAGACAAAGTGGAATAGATCCACCTAATACACGCACATTGCCTCTATCTGGTGACCTGTCTCTAATGACATAAACTCAGCTACAATCTAATGAAACATTTCTTTTGTCTGCAGTGCCCAGACTCAGCCTGCAAACAGGACCTGCTGGCCTACCTGCAGCGCATTGCCCTGTACTGCCACCAGCTCAATATCTGCAGCAAAGTGAAGGCAGAAGTTCAGAACCTGGGAGGAGAACTTATTGTATCAGGGGTAAGCTGGGATTTGTATTTAGCTGTTTATGTTTCCCACGTAGCACTTGAAAGGGAGCATTTTTGATTGCAGTAATACACAAAACAAAAATCCACTGATTCATAAGCAAGCTTTTTAAAAATGTTATCACCATTATTCCAGGCCTTACAATAGCTTGTGTAGAGCAATTTGATTTTCCAATTACCCTTTGTTTATATTAACCTTGTAAAATCTTCATTCTTCCAAAAGAGAAGTAATTTTATAGCCTAGAAAGTCACTGCCAAGCTGTGAATATTATAATTATTTGGAGCTTTTGTATATTTGCTCATTATAAATCTTCTTTCCTTTGTTAGTACTGGTAATTTCCTTCCTCTGTGCAGAAGCCAGCTCTGTATGAAGTGCATATTGTTAAGATGGTGATGACTAATGGGATTCATTCACTCAGGTTCCAATGCACACTAGGTTTAGCAAAAAAATCTGGAAGGCCAGCAAAATATTTTAAATTTTGATGCATGTGCTGTTTTCAAATACTATTGGCAAGCACAATGATTATATGCTCTAGTGCCCATCCAGTTATTTCAGTTATTTTCAATGAACACTGCAAACTTCTTACACACAATCTTTTTTAGAAATAAAGACAGGAATATACAGCAACAGTAATACGATAAACAAAGAGTTTTCTGTATTTTTAAAGTATTTTTTCTTTCCTTCTCCTAATGTTGGCTTCTGTGCCTCTGGGAGAATACTAGAACCAAGCAGTAACAATTGCTGCTCTTCACAATTTCCTTTTTTTGTTCTTTCACCCTAGTATTAGCCCCGTGACACATCTGATATCCTCTAACTCAAATACAGACCACACATGTGTAAATGTGCAATATTGTCACTCTCCTGAGTGTGTTTTCAAAACAGTGGTGATTTGTGAGACCCGAGATGCTTCAAAAAAATTGTTTTCAGATGTGGTTTTGAAAAAGCACCCTTTCATTGTTTAAGCCCAATCAAGTACGAAGATTATTAGGACAACTAACTTGTGCCCTTCATTCCATCCATAAGATTCCCCAGTGACATCACTGGCCTTCCTCAAGCATATCAGAAGTCAGAGAAAATGTTCTCAACCACATAACATTTTTATTTATTTTTTTTTGCAAAGCACTATAGAAGGTCTTAAACATTTGCCAGGCTTTCTTGGATCAAACATTCTGAAGTCATACACACAATCCTAAAAGGAGCTGCTTAAAGGTTCCTGTATCTGTCCTGCAATTGGTCTTCACTTCTTGACGTATGTACGTATGTAATTTTAATACCTTGATCTTCCCACAGCAACGAAAAGATCCTCTTCCATTCTCCTGATATTAACGGAATGATCTGTCCTTGTATTGCTGACAGCTATGCTGCAGAGTTGATTGCTACGATCTTTTCTTACCTACTGCCATCTGGGTCCAGCTTTTCATACCCATCGAGTTGTCATATTCATCTCTCGACAACAATTACCCCAAATCAGTGCTTCAACCAGCTTGGCTTTTGTGGTTGTGTGTGTTTCTTTTTTCGAGTCTCTTTATTCAGTGTATGTGAATGCTGAATAAGCCATTGTGAACCTCGAGCATCTATTCGTTCCTGGAACATCCTCATCTGTTGTGAAACTATAAGTGGCCGAACCGCTTGACTTCATCATTCCCAGTCTGGCATTGTTGGCACCCGCTGCTTACCAGGCTTCATCACCATTGTGTTTCTGTTTGGTTGGGGTTTCACAGTCAGTTGCAAAGACAAAATTAGCTTCAAATGCAGAAGTGATTGGGTTCTGTTCCCAAGACTCAGTAGTACTGATGTACGGAAAATTTGAAGGTTGCCCAGCTCGCTTCTTCTGCTGGTGCCTGAACAGGAGGTGACACAGAGTTGAACTCCTGTGCATCCCTTTGTGAGAGCATTATCTTGTGATCTAACACAGTGCAGTGCTTTCCTGATAGTGTTTTCTGAGCTGTTTATCTTCAAGGTGCTGGGTACTGTATGCTCCTTTGCTATCCAGAGGTCTGGTATCCAAGTGCACATCTACATCTGCTTGTCTACTTGCTGCTTCTGCTTCCATCTTCTTCTTCATTTTCTCTTGGATAGCCAATTACAAATAAACAGTATTTTATTTGTATCAAAATGAAATACCATTATTTGGCAACTTGCATACAGTACAATGTTAGAAGTACTATAGAAATTCAGAATTCCAGCTTCCCAACCTGTGACTATGGAATTAACTTTATGTTTGCACTATATTTAAGTGTTTTGATGTAAATATCAAGAACCAGGATGATTATTACAATATTGTGATTTACTACTGTGTTTTCAGAGAACTACAATATCATTCAGATCGATCCAAAAGATGACTTATGATTCAGAATTCTTATAGAGAGTAGAATCTCTGCTTGAATTCTTTCATTATTAAGAATATTAATCAATATTTATAAATGAAATGAATGTATGCATATGTATGTTTGAATCTGCGTGTGGGTGTCTGCATATTTATATAAAAAGGAAAGAGACATAAAACCAATTAAAACCTAAAAGACAGATGAAAGCCACCCCACAGTTCCTATAGCTTGGTTAGAGAAAAATATGTTGCAACAACTTCAAAAATATTGTCTACATAACACATAATGTGCTATATATATTTTGATGAAACTTCTATTTTTTTCCCCCCTACAAGATTCAGTATTTCAGTATGGTTTATCTCTGAAAATAAGCCTAAAGCTGATCTTGTTTGCTTTTTCCTCTATAGATTGATATGGTACTAGCATAGAATATGAAGGGGTCCTTTTTGGCATCAGTGGCTTTGCTGCAAATAGGAAAACAGATCAAAAAGTAAGAAAATGTCACAGTCCTGAAGTGTAAATTATTTCAGTAAAGAACCTACTGTTTTTTCCCTTTCCTTTCTCCCATTCCTTTTCCCCCCAAGCTTTTTTTTCTCCTTTGATCTTTCCCATCAAACTCCCTCCATGCAGATAGCAAAACTATTTTTACCAGATAAGTAAGACCTGGCAATTGGGAGTTAGGATACGTCAGCTAATACCTCATTATATCAGTGGAGAAAGGCCAATTTGTCTGTTGACTTGGTCCTTTATGTTGCAAGATGAGACTTCTAATTTCTGATTCCAGTTGAGTTTTGGAAAGTAATATAAGAAAAAAAACTGTGTTCTACCTGCCCTTCAGTGAGGAGCCTTGTAAACTGGAAGAAGATTATAGGGAAGAAAGTAAGTAAAAATGGTGAGGAGGTTAGATAATAGCAAACACAAATTAATATAAAAAATTGCAAAAGATTTTGCAAATATTTCTGATCTGTGTAGATGATATCCTTGTTCCCAATAAAAGTCTCTTTGACCTTAGTCCATAAACAGATATATATTTCTGTAGTTTTAAATTTGAATATTCAATTTGTAGTTCCCCTCTAAGAATAAACAACGTCCTTTAATGAAATTACAGAGTAAAAGCATTTCAAAATAATTTGCTTTGTCTCTTGCCTTAGTTTATTTAAAGTAATACATATTTGCTTCGTAATCAGTTGCACTATTGTATTGGAATGAATCCTCTGAGGTGCTGAGCATACACCACTCTCAGTAAATCCCATTTGCATATACTTAGCTCTTGCTGATAGCCTTGCCTGTTTGTGGGAGCTACTTTTGTTCAATAGAGTTGCTTTTAATGATGATGTTTCTCATCTGGATACAAATTCAGACTTGTGACTGTAGGGCTGCTTTATTTTTCTAGTGTTCCTTCCTGCCTCTTGTTAGCAAGAGCATTACAATAAAACAAATATATATATTCATTTCTTACTTTAGAATAAATATCCACTTGTTCTGTTTACTGCTGCTCAGAAGCTGATCAGCTCATTTACCTATACCCATTTAGGCTATGAGCTTGCATTTTTTAAAATTCTTGTTTTTGTTAGTAGAGTTGCCACAGATTTTCATGTAGCATTAGACTGAGCAGAATCTAAGAAAATCCCTTATCCAAGGCAGCCCCTTATCGTGTTCAGGTTTGATTTGGAGCTCTACAGATCTAATCAGCTGTATTATCAGAAAATTTGCCCAGAAAGTCTGAAACTTCTGAGCCAGACAGATAGGCAGTGTTGTACCATGTGCCTTTGAACACTGTCCAAAAATATGGAATCAACAGCCAAAGCGCTCTCCAAACATATTCTTTAGCTGGGTCCAATTCCCAATTGTTTTCCAAATCCCATTTATCTTAACGTAATAGATTCAACTGCAATACTCAGAGAAGGATTCTTATAATCTGTTGAAGATACAAGGCAGTTTAGTTGAGGTTGTGAGTTTACCGGGGAGCTCCTGCTTGGGGAATTTCAGTGAGGGCTTTGGTGGGAAAAGGAGGGTAAAAGGGCTGGAGCCACCCCATTAATTTTGAGTAGGACATTACAAAAATTGCCATAGCACCTTGACTGGGAGGGTGGCTACATAAAAATATTAACAGATACAGGACATAGGGCAAAATAAATGTATGTTTATTCTTGATCAGTGATAAGAGTAAGGTAACCAGAAAGAGCTGGTCCTCATCAAAAATGAATGAACCTCATTATTTATGACAGAGTCACAGGGAGCATCCAGCAGTTATTTCAGGTGAGCTGGCAGTGTCCTTATCAATTCTGCCTATGGATCTTACGTGGAATAAAAGAAGATAGTTTAAAGGTCCTACTTTTCTTTCATTTAAGGCTGAATCACTGTAAACTACCCCGTGCTGTAAAACCAAGTTGGTACGTGTGTGGGCAGTGAAGTATCAAGTTGCTACTTATTAATTCTAGAGACTCAAAGAAAAATCAGGTAATTTGAGGTTCAACTGTTATTAAAAGTGAGTAAGGCTGTCTTTCATTGAATTTGGATTAAGAGCATGTACCTAAACATTTACTTAAGAGCCACTGATGGGTTATTTCATTTTCCTGAAAAATAAAGCCTTTCTGGAGTGCTTTCCTTTGCTTTAAAGTTGGCAGGCAAAGAGAACTTTTGCATGTAAAATGCTTAAGAATACGG